TATATATATATATATACACACACACATATGTACATATATATGTATGTATGCATGTACGGACACCCCCACCCCCACCCCCCCCACACAAACACAAACACAAACACAGGTAGTTTTCAAAAGTTTGATTCAAACGTCTGTCAGAGCACATCACAGCAGCAGTGTCAGGAATTATTTTATCCACAGTATCTTTCTGTATTTTCTTCTGTAAAGTCAAATGTTGGTAGCTGTTCACATTTTTATTAGAGTTTTAGTCTAAGATGTTTTCATGCCCTGTGATATTTTTTCAGTAACCTGTAAAAAAGTGCTTAAAAAGGAAGACAAACAACAAATTAAATTTTATAAATACAGTATATAGAGAAAACTCATATGGTTATATCTGACAGATAAAAACAATATACGTATATGTTTACTATTCACAGAGGGTTGATTTAAACAGCCATCAGGTGCTAATGATCCATTGTTAGGCTGATGGTCCTTCTTGAGCATGTGATCAGCTGGTTTTGGTTGTCAGCAGCAAACTGGTTGATCCACTCTGAGAAGGTGCTATTTAAGAGACTGAGCTGAAAACAGCACCTCAGACTGAGGAAGTCTCTCGGATGAGAGACGAAACGTTTCTATATTTTTTTTCTTTGTTTTGTTTTTTGTTTTTTTGAATGTCCAGAGGACCAGATTGAACTTTTTTGAACATGGGATAAATTTTCATTCTTATGCTGATGATACACAGTTATATTTGTCCATGAAACCCGATGACTCCAATCAGCTACTTAGACTATAAAACATGTCTTAAAGACAGAAAAACCTGGATGACCCTTAATTTTTCCTTTTGAACACAGACAAGACTGAGGTTTTATTTTTTGGACCTGAGCATTTTAGAAATTTAATTTTTCAGTCTTTCTCCCTCCTTAGATGCATTAATCTGTCCTCCAGCTCTAATGTTAAAAATCTTAGTGTTATTTTTGATCAGGACAGGTCTTTTATCCCCCACATAAAAACATTACTAGAACTGCCTTCTTCCACCTGCATAATATCACTAACATTAGAAACATCTGATCTAAAGATGATGCAGAAAAACTGGTCCATGCATTTGTCACGTCTAGACTGGACTATTGCAATGGTTTATTATGTGGGTGTCCAAATACTTATTTAAAAAAATCTTTAGTTAATAATTCAGTTAGTACTTCAGGGGTGGATGTGGATGAATGGTAAGAGCAGTCGTCCTCCAATGCAAGAATTGGGGGTTCGATTCCACCAGCAGTCACATGCCAAAGTGTCCTTGGGCAAGACACTGAACCCCTCATTGCTTTTAATGTGTGTCCCATTGTTGTATTAATGTGATAAAGCACAAATTAGTCTTTGTAGAAATCTAGTAGAGTGCTGTATGAATGGATAAATGAGGGCCCAGATTGTGGTGTAAAGCACTTTGAGTATCTTGATAAGACGGAAAGGTGCTAAATAAGTACAGTCAATTTACCATTTAATCCAAAATGGTATCGGGACACCCCTAGTTCTAAGGTAGGTAGCTAAGCTTGTGTCAAAAAAGTTTCTAAAAAAATCCTATTAAAATCTCATCTTGTGACCTTTTCCCATCTTGTACTTTGTCTTGTTTTGTAAGCTGAATGTCTCGTTACACCCAGAATCATGACTCTGTTTCAGCAGCTGACTAGTCTCCAACAGTTTGCACCTTAAAGAAGGAACTGATTGTACTGGATCATTCACAAACCACCTATATGTATGCACTTGGTAACTGCTTAAACGTTCTCAGAGGCTCTGACAACATTACTAAGTTAGAGGGATACAGCAGTGGGAAATATTAGCTCCATCAAGCTCTGCCTGCCACTTAGTTTAATTACTGTTCTGTTGCAGCTCTGCCCACAATCTCTCATCGTTATGCCAGCTCCCTCTTATCTGTCTCCTTCCAAACTAAATATAGAGATAATGTTGAAAGATCCAGATGCTGCTGTGGCAGTCCATTGCTTTTGTCTTTAATACGTGCTCTCTGGGGAATACGTCACAATAAAAAGAGTTGGGAAAACTTGGGTGGAAACTCTCACAAAGAAACAAATTGGCACATTGGGGGCAATTAAGTGAGAAGATGAATAGCTTAATTTATTTAGAACTAGGCAGCAAAGTGCTGCTTAAAGGAATACGGTCTATCATGTGAAAGTCAGAAGCTTATTGGCACCATTTGATAACAGTGTTTCATCCATTTTGTGTCATTAATCTGTACAGGGTCGATACATTTTCAGGAAAAAACTGATTCGCTTGAGCTGAGCTAAAATAAGAAGTCTTTGCTGCCATCTGCTGGCCACTAAGTACAGTTCCTGCTGGCTCTGACTTTTGATTAAAACCATAAAGAGGATAATTTGTTGAAATATGCATGTTTTACAGTGATTAACTTCAACCACTCACCTTATCCTGCCAATGGTGAGATTGTAGAGCTGGATATGCTGAATGATCTCATCCAACAGCCTGTCTGTCATAGTGTCAAAGTCTGCAAACGTGTCTGCCTGCAGGGGGAAACAGCAGGGTCATCTCTGTGTGTCGCTTTACAGTTCTTCCAACACGTGACATCAAGACCGCTCTTGTCAAACACACCTGGTTCCTCTCAGACATGAGAAAGTCGAGTCTTGATCCCGGCAGCCCCAGCTCGATGAACGTCTTCACCAGCCGAAGGTCTGCACTGTTTCCTGAACAGCAGGAAAAGATGTTTAACGTTTCTGCCTCAGAGTTCATTAAGCTTCAAGATGCACTCAGAAAATATATTACTAGAATCTAAAAGAAGAAAGCTCATTATGAACTTAGACAAGCAGGGTGTGCAGCCTCACCATCCAGCCCATGGACACACACTACAAGGTGGATCCCATCATCAAACTCCTCATCATCCTCTTCAGGGGGGAAGTAGGGAAGATCTGATGCCAAGAGAGGAACGTCACTGTACAAGCTGGCCTGAAAGGTCAACTCTTTAAGTAGCTCTTCTTTGGCTTTGTAGAAACTAGAAAAAAAAACAGAAAAAAATCCAAGAGACTTTACGCCTACAGTTTTCTTACTTTATGTTGAAACAATGCATTAAATCTGCTTTTGTATTTCAGTGGTAGAACAATCCCACTGCCCACCTCTGAGCAAAGAAAAAGCTTTTAAACAGAAGTTGACATTCCTAAGTAAGCTTCTCAAAGTTTAGTCTGTCATCCTGCCAGGTTCCAGACTTCAGCTGTGCAGGAGTCAAAACAAATCCACTTGCAGTTCCTGTCGTAGCAGCTAATCATGACGGATTTGTCTGAGCACTCTTTGATGCGATTTAATACACTCAGGGGGCGTTCCACCTCGTCTTGACTTTTTCGCTTAAGATTTGCTCACACTTTCCCCATTTCGTTATGCGACACGTCTAAAGCATGAGTAAATGCCAGTTACTGCAACAGATGTTGCCAGCTATCTCAAAGAACCCTGGAAACTTTGGGTTTCCACCTCCTTTCGTGCAGAAGGTTCATATAATAATATCAGTTCATTCAAGCTTACTTTGGAAGATAAGCAATTCTGTTTAGATATTATTTATTGACATAGTGAGAGGAGTTTTTCCTGCTTGAATCAATTTTTCAGTCAAGTAGTACGCCAAAGTCCTCCGGCCCTGAAGAATTTGAATGTGAATGTTTGTAGTTTTTGAGATGTCGAGTGTTTTTCTGGATGGGAATTGAACAGGAAATGCAAGTTAACACAATGCTTTTGGTGCAAGATATTCAAACAAGAAGGCGTTACACTGTGTAGGAGACAGAAATGCGAAGTGACGAATCTTGGTGAGTGGTGGAAATAATTTTATCCACCACCAGGTGCAATGGAGGAGCCAGGGGTGGCCTTGACCACTGCAGACAACTCTTCGGCCACCCCAAGGGTCCCCACAATCATTTGAAGAAACTACTTTAAAGCAATGTAAAAACTAGTATATATACTAGTTACTACTTATATATATATATATATATATATAAGTATGATGTTAAAATTATTACTGTATATTTTTATGTTTATGTTTATGTATATTTTAGGTGGTTATCTTGTTAAATTTTGAAGAAATGCACAGCGAGTCCTCCCATGCACGCTCCCACGGACGTGAAACGGCTTTTGAAATGAAGCTGATCTGACCGTTAAAGTGCATTTATTAAAGAAAAGTGTGAGGATGGTGCCCTCTGGTGTCTGGTCCCCCATCCTTACACTCCCTGGTTTCTCTGTTAATTGTCCTGATTGTCTTCACCTTTATGTCCTGTCAGGTGTGTGTGATTGTTACTCTGTGTGCGCATGTATATAAGTCTGTGTCCTTGTATTACTCGTCTGGGCATCGTCTTGCATCCTCTGGTAATCGTCTTGTGATCTGGTTTCTCTCATGTCCCTGGTTATTCCCTCGTGACATGTAAGTGTTTTGCTGCCACATCAGCCTATGTTTTTGTATTATTAAAGTGCTACTACTTTTCCTCCCTGGTTCTGAGTCCTACCTGCACCACTGGGTTCTGCTCCTGAAACACCAATCCTGACAAAAAGTTAAACTGAGACACAAGTTTGCTATAAATTCGAGCAAACAAAAAATTGTTTTTAAGTGTTAATCTTGTTAAATCACTTCACCACTTGCTCTCGACAAGATCAGATGCTTCCCTCCCTCCCTCTCCGCTTTGCTTTGCTGCTCTGTCTGTCTGTGAAATTGCTGTGAGACTCTATTGCATTTCTTCAGAACCATAATTATGGACTCCAAAAAAGTTCACTCTGGTCCTCTGGACATTCAAAAAAAAATGTAGAAACGTTTCGTCTCTCATCCAAGAGACTTCCTCAGTCTGAGGTGCTGTATTCAGCTCAGTCTCTTAAATAGCACCTCCTCAGTGTGGATCAACCAGTTTTGCTGCTGACAACCAAAACCAGCTGATCACATGGTCAAGAAGGACCATCAGCCTAACAATGGATCATTAGCACCTGACGGATGTTTACTATACACAGGAGGTTGAGTGATACTAGCAATCACAGCATTGTAAGAGGGGGACAGTTGAACCCGGAGGCCTCCACCCCTGTTTAATGATGGACGGTTCTCTTCACAAAGATGGCCTCCTTTACTCCTCTCTCAAACCATCGTTCTTCTCTATCCAGGATGTGAACATCTTCATCCCTGAAAGAGTGACCGCTGGCCTGGAGATGAGTGTAGACCGCAGAGTCCTGGCCTGATGATGTTGATCTTCTGTGCTGGGCCATCCTTTTGGCCAGTGGCTGTTTAGTTTCACCGATGTAAGACTGATCACCCTCCTGACACTGAACATCATACACAATATTACTCTGTTTGTGCCAGGGGACTGAATTTTTGGGATGAACCAGTCTTTGCCGTAATGTATTTTGGGGTTTGAAAGGTGTACCTTTAAGACCTATTGGTAGCATGATTAACTCTGTCAATTACAATGTTTCCAAATATCTGGCGTCTGTACTCATCCCTTTAGTTGGCAGCTCAGAACACCACATACCATGGACTTTGTGGATAAGGTAAGGGATGTCATCATGGAGACTGATGAAACAATGGTCTCTTTTGATGTCACATCGCTCTTTACGTGCATTCCTGTTGATGATGCAGTAGAGGTGGTCAGTTTAAAATTAAAATCAGACACCACTCTGAGCAGCAGGACCACACTTTCTACAGAACAACTGTGTCAACTCTTGAAACTGTGCCTGCAGTCAACCTACTTCACATATGGGGAGCAACATTATAGGCAGAAACATGGGTGTGCTATGGGGTCTCCAGTTTCTCCTATTGTTGCCAACCTGTACATGGAGGAGGTAGAAAAGAGAGCCTTGACGTCCTTTTCAGGGACACCACCAAGTCATTGGTTCAGGTATGTTGACGACACCTGGGTTAAAATCAAATCTCAGGAAGTCCAACATTTTACTGACCACATCAACTCTGTGGATAAATACATCAAGTTCACACGAGAAGATGTAAAAAATGGCAAGTTGGCTTTCTTGGACTGTGAGGTCTCAGTCTCTGATAGAGGACATTTGCAAACCGAGGTATACCGCAAACCCACCCACACAGACCAGTATTTGCAGCTTGACTCCCATCACCCTTTGGAGCACAAGTTAGGAGTCATCAGGACTCTGTACCACAGAGCAGACAGCATCCCCACTAACTCAGGAGCCAGGCAGAAGGAGAAATCCTACACAAGACAGGCTCTAGAGCAATGTGGATATCCTAACTGGGCCTTCCTGAAAGCAGAGAAGAAACCCAAACAGGACTCCAATGATGGTTTGAGAGAGGAGTAAAGGAGGCCATCTTTGTGAAAAGAAATCGTCCATCATTAAACAGGGGTGGAGGCATCCGTGTTCAACTGTCCCCCTCTTACAATGCTGCTATTGCTAGTATCACTGTAGTGAACCTGATCTGACCCTGATCTGACCCTGATGACCTCAAATCTACCAGATGGACAGAGACTGTTATTTTCATTGATCTGAATACAGTCTGAGCCATCTGATGACTTTCTTTCTTGAATTAATCAAGCAGAAAAGACAATTTTTATAATCATTACTGTTTTACAAATGTTTGATAATCAAATTGTGTTAGTTCCATTCAATGCTTACAGGTTGGAAAGAACTACTCATTTTTATTTTACATAAACAGTAAGTAATGATTTTTATTCCTCATTCAAAGAAGAAATCAGGTTAATATGCATTTCTTGATTTTCTGTCTGAAATGAGCTAAGTAATGTAAGTATGTGAAAGGTCGAGTCTTGGTCAACTAAAATGTTTACTGAGAAGAAATGTCATGTTTTACTATTTAAGAAGATACAACAGCGTGAGACTCCACGAAGTCTGGTCGTCTGCAATAATCTTTTCTGTATGTTGAAAACAATCCTTGACTTATGATAACATCTTACATCACAAAAACACACCTCTTTCTGGTACATCCACGAATCAGAAAGCTCTAAATTGAACCGGAAGTCGACCCATTTAAAATGTGGCAACTTCCCAGTTCATGTTAGTTCTGAAGAGAATTCAGAAGAATTCCGGAGAATTCATGAAAGAGTCTGTGAGTCTGAGAGTCTGAGAGTCTGAGAGACTTAGACAATGAAGAGTTGCTGAGAGTAAAAGAATGAAAGGAGTTCAGAGTTCTTGGATGCAGAACGCGTTCAGGATGATCCAGAGACGTTTTGGAATTATAATTTCTGTTTGAACGACCCACGCACGACTCTCGAAGGATTTTAGCTGTTCTCAACGGAGACGCTGAAAAGAGTCTGAAGGATTCTTACTGAGCCGATTATCGTCGACCAGGTAAAGGTTTCTTCTTCGACCAAGTGTACCGTGGGCAAGCTGAGATCTGATGGAGCGTGCAATTTCTGGTCAACAGATATTAATTTCCTCACATATTTCCCTGTAAGATAAATCTCCATTTCATCGTAAACTCTCCTCTTTCTCATAAAATCAGTACAGATATTTTAGAAATATCTGAAGCAAAGTCCTCAAATCACCGCCGAGTGATTTGAAGTTCATTATTTGTGAAACTTGTCTGTTATTATTTTCATATTTTGCCAAATTAATGTAAATGTTTGATGTTAAACTTTGATTCTGAAAATAAATGACCGCATTGATTTGATGGGTCAAAGATAAATAACGTCTCTCGTTACATTTCTGTTAATTTCAAGGCACGACATTACACAGTCAGAAAGATGAGGAACTCGTGAAATTGTATGCATATATCTCATATATTTGTCATACTACAACTAGTGGCACGTACCTACGTGACTCACTACATCACTCAACCCCTGTGAACAGTAAACAGCCATCAGGTGCTAATGATCCATTGTTAGGCTGATGGTCCTTCTTGACCATATGAGCAGCTGGTTTTGGTTGTCAGCAGCAAACTGGTTGATCCACTCTGAGAAGGTGCTATTTAAGAGACTGAGCTAAATACAGCACCTCAGACTGAGGAAGTCTTTCGGATGAGAGACAAAAAGTTTCTATATTTTTTTTCTTTGTTTTTTTCTTTGAATGTCCAGAGGACCAGATTGAACTTTTTCGGATTTTTCTACCTGGATTATTGAGCATGCATCAGGATAATTATGGACTGTTTTGACCAGTTGGTCCCTCAACTCAATTTACAAGATTTCTTTGAAGAGAAGATAGGCTTTATGCGAGCCGATTTGCCCTGTTGGCACGCACGCAGCTGGATATCTCATCGACTTGGAAGAATTATGATGTGTCTATGTCTGCTGCCATCTGTGGATTTTAAGGACGCATATTTATGTGTATTATATTTATTATTTATTTATATTTATGTTTATTGACATCAAATTGACATCACTTATCATTATTAACATCTAATTAACGTTACCTGCACAGTAAAGGGTTTTCGATTTTCTGATTTCACTTTTAAACATATAGATGGAGGAGCGTTTTTAAAATATATCTTTAGCCAATCAAACACTTTGAAACTGTGAACTTACTGATTTTATTAAGCTACGAGTTAATAAATGATAATTGCTAGACTAGATTTTTGGATTTTTACACGTACTGAAATGATTATAGAACACCGTTTTGACATTACAAATATTTATAGGTTGTGTTTACAATGCTAATCAATTAATGATGTGATTATATCTAAAGCTAAGTTTTGGGCATTTTTGAATGATAAATTAGAACAACTGCTATTATGGATATAAAGCAATATTTTGAAAGTAGAGTTACAAATTTCCTATCTGTTATTAATTTATTCCACAACTGATTATTTGAATGTGGGAGAAGAAAATTACAAATTTTTTTTTTTAAACTAAAAGGGTTTTTAGAGTGAACTTCTTGATGTTATAACTAAGTGGACCTTGGGAGTGTGTTACAACCTAACGGGGAGGAAGTCAAACACTGATGATTAAACAGGAAATTTAACAGATAATATGAAGCGAAGTTCTGGGTAAATTTTTAACAATTAAGTACAGATGTGTACTTTAGAATTGTGGTTAATTTGAATTTTGAACTCAGCATTAATTGGGTGACAGATATTCTCCAACTACTTTGAGAGATGAGATGATTGATGGACTGACAAATTTTGGGGTGGGTTAGATATTAACGTTTACAGTTTATTAACAGCATTTCTGAGCGTTATGATGATTTTTTTCTTTAAAATTAACATGGTTGAGCAACACTGTTTGCAAGGTACTTAGTTAAGAACTACCTTTAAATGATTACTTGATGTTTTGTTTATTTAATGAATATTTGATGTGTGAAGGCATGAACAAGAATGTGCGTTTGTAATTGATTTCAAGAGCAGATCGTGATGAAATAACGCCACTAGATGGTGCAATTACGATGATAAATTTAATTATTAACATTGTTTTCTATGAAATAATGAATTTTTTACAGCTGGCTGACGAGCGACCAGAGGATTTTGATAAATACATATAATGGGATTTTATAATATAGATTTTCCAGGGGGTGAACTCATGACATTTTTCAATCTAAATTGGGATTAAATTGAAGGGTGGTGGAATGGGTGAATTGATTTGTTGGTTAATTGGGAATGTTTTTATATTAGATCACCAGGGGGAGTTGGGAGGTTCTATTATTTACATGCAATATGCACGTTAAAACACGTTAATTGTTTAAATCAGATTTTATTCACACAAACACATTTTCTGCTGTGACAGGCTAAAAATACCAGCAGCGCTCTGTGCAAATAAAATGGGTATTGCATGACTGAAGGGGAAGGGGGCACAGAGTTTTTCGTTTTCCTTTTCAGATGGACACAAAGGACCAGGCCTGCCCTTGGAGTCAAAAAGAGAAGTTCAGGTTCTACAAACTGATGAACATCTATTAGATAAGAACGCTTTCTTGCATTAGGACGCCTCCTGCAATTATTAAATCCTGTATTTAGAGCTCAGACTTAGACAAATGTTAGAAATTTCCATTATGTCATTGCACCACACCAGGGGGACCCTGAAGTCCTAGGCAGATGTCCAGGGCTGGGTCAGGCAACCTGAGGCTGGCAGGTCACATGCTATAGCTTGTAGGCATCTACCGCCAACATATTAGGAGTAGTTTACATTCAACCAGAGGAAAATGATTAATTGCTTGTTTATCTGGCGGTATTGAACTGGGAGTTTTTATGCGAGGGAACCCCTTTTGGTGACCCTCGCCCAGGGGGAGTTGTTAAGATATTTTTGGACTGGGCCTACGGTTTTGATCTGCTCAGACGGGATTATAATGAAATTATGACCCTGTTCTGACTGGGTTAAACTGGGTCAGCAACTCTAAAAAGAGTCTCCCTGAGATTCAATATCAGTCAAGAAAAAAAGAGTTTAATCTTCTTGCCACATCACGTAGAAAGGCTTTTGAAGCACCGTCTCATATTTCCTAACACGTCAGAACCACATAAGATCCATTGAGATCACACTTAGTCACGCTCCCTCATACACTGACAGGTTGAGCTCCCCTTCTGCAAAGGAGGAGTCTAGGACCCTATAAATGAGTAATGACATGGGGCATCGGGGCTCTTCCAGGTCTGTGAACGCGTCACAGACTTGAAAGTCCAGCGCTATAAATTGTAACCTTTTCCTGCCTTGATTTTAATACAATTGGTAAAACTTAATCGATGTTTCCTTGATTTATTTGTTATTTATTTGTTACTATGAGTTGCCACTTCTGAGGGAGATAGAGCTGGAGGAAGTGGTGGGGGCTGACTGAGGGTCCAGGGTCTGAGAGGAAGCCTAAGGCCCACGGCTAGCAGTAGCTAGCTGCAGTGACTGACGACCCGCAGTCAGCCTCCCAACGCAACAGCATAAATTGACAAAAAGTAAAAAAAATGTTCTGACTTGCAAAAATTGAGGATTTAAATGATTTATAAATGAGTGTGCAGTTGTTTTTGACCAAGTTTTTCTCAATACCATAGAGACAATCCTGCTGTTTTGTCAAATTCTGTGCAGTCACTATGAAAAGATGCCTCTAGGTGACTTGATGCTCTTGCCAAGACACACGTTTGGTTTTTCTTTTAGTCCTGTACCAAACCATGACCCCAAAACTTTTGTGTATCTTTACAGCTGTATCATTTACTAATATTAAGTTTAGCAAAAACAACAACTCACTTTAGCATCCGTTCATTGGTCTCTTCGTCCATGTTGATTGGCGTGAGGGACGAGGAGGAGATGATACCAAAGGACCCCAGGGGCTGATGGGTAATGGGTGAGGAAGCCTGGCGAGTGGATATTCCACTGATGGAAGGAGAGTCTCTTAGGGCAGAAGAGAACGGCAGACAAGTTGGAGCACATGACACCGACATGTTCACCACCTCCACCATCTTCTTGTTCACAAAGGCCAAGCCTGAGCTATGAATCTTCGAGGGTTTAGTCTGACAGTCGCCTGTTGATGTCCCACTCAGGGGAACCATTGATGGTATGTGGTAGGTGGTCAGGCCTGTCAGCTCATTCGGCCTCGGTGTGATAGTAAATTCAATTGACTGTGACTGTTTTCCAGGTTCCTGTAAATATCCCACATATGGTTTGTCCTCAGAGCTTTGTAGTTTGCTCAAGTGTAAACTTTGGCAGTCATCCTCAGTACTAATGTCTTCCTGCTCTGCTGCACTTTGATGCACACATGGTTTGCTTCCACAGTTGCAGGATGCTGCCTCTGATTCACCCAAATGCACATCATCTACTGAAGTGCTTCTTCCACTTGTGCGTGTTTGATGGTCTTTTTCCTTCCCCAGGCTTCCAATAACAGCACTTTCATTTACAGAAGGGCTTTCTATAGACTCTTGTGAATGCACTTCAGACTCGCCACTTAACACCAACTTGACTCTGCACATTTCTGATGGGTACTGCTGAGAGTTAGACTTTTCAGAGCTAATGTTCTTCAGATTTTGATCAGGATTTCTGTTGAACTGTGAACATTCACCCTGTTCTAAACGCAACTCCAAACCCTGGAGGTGAACTGTGTCTGTGTCCTGGTTAAGCAGAACATGGCCCTCCTCAGCATCTTCTGGGCTACTTATCTGAGGTGCAGAAAGTGACTTGGTCAGTTTGCTGAGCTGCCTTAGCTGCTGGTCCTCCTCGTAGGGCAAGGAGCTGATAGAGTTGAGTGAGGCCTGTATACCACCACTTGGAAGGCTGCCGTTGCTCTCCATCTGCAGACCTTCCACACAGCTGCAGTGGACTGGATGGTTCAAAACGATTTGATTTGGGATCTCTCGTTCACTAGAGAAATCCAGTGAAGGACGGCCCCGCAGTACAGTTTCTACAGGCCAGACCACAGAGCTGGGTTCACTCTCAATGCCTGAGTCAGAGATGAGAGAGGATGAACGCTTCATGGTCTTAGAGTTCACTAAGCCTCCATGGTGACCTTTTTCTTTTCTCATGTCTCCAGAAATGAAAGGTGTTGCTGGATGCATAAAGGAGCTAAGGAAGGTGTTACTTGGGGCATCTTCACTGTCATCATCCATGGAGTGATTAAAAGGCATAGTAGAGTCAGAATCTTCTTCATTGTTTCCATTCTCTTTTACTGTATTGTAGTTTAAAGCATCGCAAGGTTGGATGGTATTTTCTGTGGCTTTATGATAAGAAGTGTCATCCATGTCATGACTCGGGCCTCCTTCTTCTCTGTGTGGATCCACACCATAAGGTCTAACTGCACTGTAAGTCCAGCCAGGCCTGCAGCTCTCCTCATGTTGTCTTTGACATTCTGCTGGTTCCTCGATGTTCTCTGCCTCAGCTGCAGAGTGTTCAGCACCAATCTGAACAAAGTTTTGAGTACTTCTTACATCTGTCCTGTGCTGATCTATGATACATGAGACATTCATGGCCAGCCCCAAGTTGTCCTTGCTGTCTGAAGAATCCAGAGGTATTGCTGATGAGCTGGTTTCCTGGCTTTGCTCAGGAACTTTCTCAGCAGGACTCGTGAGAGGCGAGCTGGTTTGCTCCTTGGTGGTTTCAAGTTTTGGCACATGTGACTTTGTCTCTGGGAAAACAAGGATATTTTGCTTGGTGTGAACAATTATGCTCAGAGAGAATGAATGAATGAATGAATGAATGAATGAATGAATGAATGAATGAATGAATGAAATAATCAATGAATCAATCAATCAACCAACCAACCAATCAATTTATGAATCAATCAACCAGTCAATCAATGAATCAATCAGCTAGTCAAACTTTAGTTATAAAGCACCTCTCATGCAGATAGTGGAACACAAAGTATTTCACACCAAACTGAAATACATCAAAACAAAAGGAAAGCAATAAAAGGTAAACAAAAACAAAACAACTGCATACAAGATTTTATAAAACAGCAACAAGTTGTTAAAAGTTTTTTTTACAATGATAAGTCGAATATGTAGAGACTTAAGGAATTGGCAAAAGTTATTTTTTTCAAAACAAGAATGCACTAAAGGTAGCTAATTAAAATATAAAAATTGCAAAAACGTGAATTCAGAAGTCTAAAGATCCAAACCAAGAGTTTAATAAAGAGAAAACAAATGTCTGAAAATACAGTAGTCCCTCGTTTATCACGGTGGATCCGTACCCTGAAGACTAGTGATAAGTGAAAAACCGTGAAGTAGGAATAGTAGTAGTTCATTAGTAGTAGTAAGTAGTAGTTTATTTTGGTATATATATATATATATATATATATATATATATATATATATATATATATATATATGTATATATATATATATATATATGTATATATATATGTATATGTATGTATGTATGTATGTATTTATATCTCAGTGGCGGCTCATCAATAGAAGGCGCTAGGGCGCCGCCCACCCGCTCAAACGACTTACCACATGACTTACCATATTACATTGAAGACTTAAAAAAAAAATGGAATAATAAAATAAAAATATTTCAAAATATATGTTTTTTTTAGTTGTGTAAGATATTTTATAGTTAATGATGAGTTAAGTTGTTTCTTTCATAAACGGTGTCTCTGATTGGTGACGTATTTCTGGCCCCTGAGGGCGCAAGAATCTTTGCCCATAGACTCTCGTTAAAATTTGTACATGCGCAGTAGATTCTCTTTATTACAAGAGATAGGAAGATTGAGGACACATGTCTCATGCGCCAGGGTACACAGTCAAACGGGAATGGTATATAAAGGAATTTTAAACCCTTCCCACACTCTTGCAATATTCTAAACAATGTTTCTAAACTCTAAACGCTCTAAAAGAGCACAGAATGTCATGATTTCAGCTCTCTGTCTCTGCTGCTCTCAGCCACCTGCAAGCGCTCTTGGCCACGCCCACTTCTATGCTCTGCACGGAGAGCAGCTGATCAGCTGCCGCAGGAAGTTTATCCTGCAGTACGGGCTGCACAACAGTGCAGTTGGTGCTACATAATTTAAAATGCAGAGCAGTGAAGTTGGTGTGGCCAAGAGTGCTTGCAGGTGGCAAAGAGCAGTGGAGGCAGGAGCTGAGATGATGACATTCTGTGCTCTTTTAGAGCTTTAGAGTTTAGAAACATTGTTTAGAATATTGCAAAAGTGTGGGAAGGGTTTAAAACGCCTATATATATATATATATATATATATATATATATATATATATATATATATATATATATATATA